GACACTAATTTCAGCTGCTGATGGATACGAGTAAGATTTTCAGCAATTACATTCGAAGAATTGTGTTTGAACCTTGGTTCTTTACTAATCTAACATTAAAAGTAGTTTTGTTGTCAATTTTTACATTTTTGAACTATCGCAGAAATTATAATTAAACATTTCAAGCTTTCAAATGACGTTTTTTTTTCCTACCTGACCTTCGTACACAACGCGTTAAAATGATCGACATATTACCTTATTGAAAGTGTTCCTAATTCTCATCTGCCAATTTCAAATCTTTTCGAGAATGATTTTCTCAAAAAGTAGTAAACTGTAACAGTAGTAACTGTCTGTAACAGCTTTAACGGCTCATCGTATCATTTTCATACTTTTATATTTATGTTTAATTTTTGGAAATGCAGTGAAGGACAAAATCTATTTAAATTAAATTTATAAACCTAAGAAAAACATTCAAAGCATACATTTTTACTACCACTTCAAGTATAAAAATAAAATTTTAGACAAAATGTTAAAAGCTGATAGCTATGCTAATTGTATTTTAGTTAGTTTGAAAATGCTCTTTGATTATCCTGCTACATATTAAGTATTAGACAAATGAAACTCTTAATTTTGTTAAATTTTTTAAATAATAAAATTTTAACTTATAAATATTTTACCGTATTTTTCTATTGGAAAATATATGACGAGATAGAAAAACTTCAAATAACCATGATAATTTTTTCAGCAATATAGTCATTTAACTCCAAGCTGTATGCTATGCTAAAATTTTAATTGTGTTTATTTGTAGTGCTTATTTCTCTTAAATACAGTAAACTGTTGTTGGAACTGTTAAGTGGCTGTTGTTTTTAATTAAACATGGGCAAGCCAAACTTGCCAGCCACAGGTCTTTTTCGAGCTTAGTCAGGAAGGAGCGCCTTTTGTTTCACAAGAGAGCACAGCGAGGGTGAAAGCAAGTCTCAGCTCAGAACCCCATGGGCAGATGGCAGATCCGCGAGGCCATGGCACTGATCAGAGACAGACCACGGAATTTTCAATTCCACAAATTTTACGAGCACATATATCGCATGTTCTCGGTGGGTCTTAGCGTAGGATCGAACACCGAGTTCAATTCTCTAACCACTGGGCTACCACATACCTCGGAACTGATATAAACCTCGAGTGTGTTTAGTTTCTAAATATGTTTTCAAAAATGTAATGTTGTTAAAAATAAACTTTGTTTTTAGAGGTACTATGAAAATAAATTTCCCCAATATTGTGAAAAGTCTCTGTATTGTCATTTTTCAATCCACAGTGAACTGATCTGGATAAGGTCACCGAAGTCAAGCATTACAGGCAGCAGTCAGTGAGTGGGTGTCCATTTTGATCAGCCCGTGAGAGACTCGAGGATGTCCGGCTTCGATCTTCCATTAAACTGTTCAACCATAAAGTGACCAACTTCACAACACAGGTCATTCAGCTTCAAAAGTGGTCGAACCATTCATTCAGACGAGGATCAAAATTGTGATAGCATGTCTTATCCACAGGGGTGATTACCAAACAGTCACCAATAATGAGCATCTCTAGGTCGTAAATAAAGTACTGCAACTACTATTGTAATTTTTCATTTAAATTCAATTTATCAACTTAAAAAAAAAAAAAAAAAGAACTATCTAAAAGAGATAGTTCTTACGGTAACGGATTCTTAGATAACGGAGCAGTGAAAATGTTATCTAATTCTCGGACTAGTAACATCTTTTGTATCATTAGACAGAAACTAAATATTCTTAATTTCTGCCTGTGTTAATCATATAACACAAACAATGATAAATATGTTCTCTTGCTTTCATCATTTAATACAATCTACCCAAATTTTATAACGAAAATTAAACAATTTAACGAGTGTATAATATAAATTTATTTCATAAAAATAAATGATAATAAAAAAATAATTTTTTAAGAATTTTTAAGTTTATTTTTACTTATTTTACCCTTGACAAAGTTACCATTTCTTATAAGTTGACTCAATAGCAAAAAAAAACAAAACAAAACAGGTGAACAAAGTAACCTAAGTTGTCTACTAAGTAACTTTGCCCATCAAGTTTTTCGAATTTTTACAGAAAAGCAGACAAAAAATATTTTAACATCATAAATCAACTTTACAAACCTTCCGTACTAAGCGAAGAATTATTTTTGTTTCCCCAACTAACAGAGAAGTACAGTGAGCTAAAAAAGAAATAAAAACGGAACACCCTAAATAACTTTTGATCTAATGATTGGATATTTACGTTCGATCTTCGAAGAGATGACCTCAGATATACTAATTAATTATTGCAGACGACATTTACGAAATCATACACAAAAATGTAATATTTCGGAATAAACATTCCTCTTTTTCGACGGATTCGGATTTCTGAACCCCATATTATTTGGGGTAGCCGCAATTTGGAAAATATGGTCCCCATATATTGGTCAGAGGAGTGATCCAAAGTTTGCACCCCATAATGTTAATTTTACTTTCTGCGTATTTCGAGAACTTTTTGCACTCAATTATAAAGTTCGTTTATCCACGGAAAAAAATAAATTTTAATAAATATTTATTATTTCATTCAATTGTGGTTGAAAAAATTTTGAACAGTAAGGTATAAAATTTTTTACATCATTTTAAAGTAAGTAATTTTACATGGCAAAATTTAAAATTCGAGCAAAACCGGTTGAGAAATCGAATTTTAAAAAAGTTGTACATTTATTATTCAAATATGTCACCAAGTTTAGGATTGCAGTAAGACTACAAAACAATGAGCTTTTTTTTTTAAAAAAAAATTAATTCTAAGATATATATAGTAAAAGATATCAAGAGTTAAGATTCTGTCTGACGTGACTAACTTTTTAAAGCTATTATATTGTTTTAAAAGCATATTTGTGTAATTTGATAATGAAATAAAACAGAACTATATACAGTCGCAGATAATTACTTAAATCCCAAACCGCAGTGGTCTTTTCTTATTTTGCAATGGAGTTAGCTCAAATAGCATTTTAAAGTTCAAATAGTTTAATATTTTGATAAATTAAAATTAAAGGGCTTTCAACCACCACTGTACAGAAATTATTTGAACAGTTTAATAAAAAGTCAGATAAACAAACTAATTAAGTGCTTTAGTTCTGATTAAAGTTTTTTAAAAATTTTAACCGTCATAAAATTTTTTGCTCTTGGTGACTAGAATTGGAAAAAATATTTTGCAGGAATCTCAAATATTGCAGGGTATGATTCTGTATAAACATATAAACAATGTTCCTATCTTCTAAAAAATTTCCATTTTCACCTCTGACGATGACAACTAAATTTTTAACATCTTGACTAATATATAGTGATGCATGCCTAAATATCAGAGAATTTTTGCTCGCCGCTTTACAAAATTCACACTCCAACTTTTTTAAAAATTTGGCCCTGAGTTTCATTGATAGACATCAAAAAATGCCAGTTTCCTCTAATATGAATGATGATTCACTGTTATCACTGATATTTAAGATAATTCTGGGATTGCATGCTTATTTCTTTGTTTTGGTTCCAGTCCTGATAGCAGAAAATTATACTATCTTGGTTAATTGAAGTACAATTAAATGAGCACGATTAATTTCTTTGTAGTAAATTTATATTATGTTAAATTTATAGAGGAATAAATCGTGTGTCATAAATTTAGTAAGCATTTATCAGTTTATGATTAATTTCAACAATTTTTTTTTTTATCATCCTCTTGTTCAGCTAGTTACCACTGTTGTAATTTAACATTCCATTTTAAACCTGAATAACTTTTCCTAGTTGTAATTTAATTCAATACATTTACTTACTTTAAAAAATTTGACTTACCACAAAATACCACATTAACAAGGAGATAATTTTAAAATCGAATATAGAAACAAGATTAGTAGATAAAGTAATAAAAAAACGGCCACTTTAAGAACCACTAATAAATAAAATCAAAAATACAAATGCAACAAAAAACACCTTATGTTACAGAACATAAAAATCAACATATTTGGAAGATCAATAAATATCCAAGTACTGCTAACTACGATCACAAACCCTGGCGCTATTTTCGCAGTTCCTTTCGGATTGCATTACTAATACTTATGTGCTTCAGTTTAGATTTGTATGCAAGCCAGTGATTTTTTTTTTTTAAAATGAATTCTTAAGACCGGGATAGCCTGGTCGGTAGGGCGCTGGGCCCATATCCAAGAGGTCATGGGTTCGATCCTCGCCGGCCGAAGACTCCCCGTGTAGTAAATGGTGACTGATGCACGTTAAATCTGTCGAGTCTCAAAGTCCTCCATGTTCCCACAACAAATCAATACCTCTGGGGGTACTGATCCAGGAGTTTCCTTGTCTTCTGGATTGGTTCAAAATTACAAGGCTACGGAGTTGAACGTAAGTAGTCGTAAACCCATGAAATTGGGTCGGCTGTTCAACGACGGTTATAAAATAAAATAAAATGAATTCTTAAAGATGCAACTCATACATCATGTGAAACCTTTCTCCAACCTCATAATTGTTTTAAAAATTTTCCCTAACCACATACCGTTTAAAACTTTACTTTCAAATTAAATTACTTTTTCTTAATTACTTTTTATTTTCGAATTACTTGACTTTAAGAAATTTATTAAACGACTCAAATCACTTAATTTAGAAAAGTATAAAGCTCAATGCATATACTGAACAACACTGACAGAAAATGGAATGAATCTAAAATTATTGTATAAATTGAAATTCACATCAAACTAATTTTTTTAAAGAGAAATTGTCAAACTTCTAAAAAATTTTACGTCAAAAATATCTTATTTCAAAAAATTGTGCCATTTCTAGGTAGGCGAATCATTTTATGAAATAGTACTTTTGTCTTTGTGTGATCTGTTGGGTGGAAACAATTTTTTCTATATCAGAACAAATTTCCCAGAAATTTTAAGTACTAGCTGAGTAAATTACAAGATGCATATTTTTAGGGGGGAAAAGTACAAATCAAAGAAAGTTGTGTTAGCTTTTTTTATTCTCAGAAAAATAACAATTTACAGGATTTTCTTTACTAATAAAACCATTGTAAAAATCTAAAGCTGTAATGCGTCCTTTTTTAGGTATTTTTACATTTGTAATTCCACACCAGCCATTCTGAAAAAAAACAAATGAAAAAAAAATAAAAAAAAATAAATAAATTAGTAATATTATTTTTGTAAATACCAATACTTTTAAAAAGATTTAACTTTATATAACATTTAATGAAGAATTCCAATTGAGTCAAGAATTGAGTTTGCAGCAATAAGAATCTGACTGAAGCTTAATGTTTTAATTCTTTGGACACAAGTGGTGTTTTGGCAACCCTTCATTTGAAAAAATTTCTCAAACTGGGTTAAAACCAGCATGCCTTACAAAAAAAAAAAATTGTCTAAACTTATATTTCTTCGCAAAGCATATTTTATGGAACTCGTATATAGAAAAAAGAAGAAAAAAACAAACATTGATCTTAAAAATCAATTTGAAACCAAAAAAATTTTAATTTAGGTAAAAATTTTATTTTTATAACCAATCACATAACTTTCAAAAATATTAAAAGCGAAAAGTCAAACTCCAATTTTGCAGAAAATATGTTTTCTAATGACAACATATTGTTTATTAAAATATACTTATTGTAAAATTTCAAAACTAAAATGGTTTTGCAACTTTATTGCCAGCATTGGCAATATAAGTACCAAAATATTAAGTTTCCCCCACAAAATTTTAACTTTAATAAATAAATTTCTTTTTCTAAAAAAAAAAAAACTTTAATTTATTTTTACTTCATATATATTTAGACAATTTAATCAAAAATAAGTATATAATTTTAAACTATTACAAACATAGTGTAAACAGTTTTTTTTAAATAAAATGAAATTTCAAAACAGATATAATACCTGATATTAATGCAAGAAATATTTGTTTAACTTACTTTACACTTCACAAAAAGAATTTTTCTCCTTTTATGGAAATAACAAAATCCTGAAGATACACAAGATGAAATAATTGATGAAATATTAGCTGATTCAGCCTCTTTCTCAGAAACACATTTAGTGATTACAACCTTCATATCCTTCCAGTATGTATATAAATCAAACTGAAATTGATATTAAACAAAAAAATTTATAAATAAATAGAATAAATTATTAATCTTATAAATGAAAGCTCACTGAATCCAAACTCAAGATAAGTACTAAAAATAATATCAAAAATAATTTATATACATTGCTTCCTTTTACATAGTTTATTTACACTTAGGAAGTTTATTCTTTTTTTTATATAAAAGTTTTATAATTTTTACTATTTTCTGTTACGGATAAATTTTTCGCTACGACATTTTAAACAGCTGAAAAAAAACAGGCTTTCAAACACAAGTAAAGACACAAGAAAGTTTCTGTAGCCAGTTAATAACTTCTCTAAAATATTTAAAACCCCTGACAAAATTCTTTCTTTATCTTTTAGAAACAAGACAATGGGTTGAGAATCTGCCTGGTCTCTAACCTGGGTGGTATTCCCCTCTTATATGAAGGCTAAACCTGACTACTCGTTAATTTGCAAAATTATTATACTATTTCTAAATGTTGCTAAAACAGATTTCACAATAATTATGAACAAAAATACCTTTAATAATAATAATTGATAGTTTTATAGTTGTTTCTAATAAAAAATGGATAAGTCAAGCTTGCCAGTCATTGGCCTTACAAATTAAGTCAGGAAGAAGTGCCTTTCGTTTTGATAAGAAGCACCATTAGGGTAAAAGTGGGACTTAGCTCGAAATCTTGAGATAGATGGCAGCACCACCCATTTGTGAGGCTACATCTACAATATAGACATAGATCTGAAGGAATTTTTTTTTCTCCAGATGCCTATATCCAAGGTATTGCTTAGTGACCCACCACAAAGCTTTTGATTCCACTGATTTTACGAGCATGTATATCACATGTACTTGGTGGACCTTAGCGTTCTGAGGATCGAAACTTCGTTCCTCTGAACCATAGTCTTATGCTCTTACCCTTGGGCTACCATGGCTCCTAAAATTATAAAATGTCGAAGTAAGAACAAACCTGACGAATGTTAGTTTCAAACCTATTATACAAGTTTCTCATGCTACCAACTATACTTAGTTTTACTTTTCATAGTGCACTATGCCACCACCCTTTTTTTAAAGTTTTTCTTTTAATAATATTTCTTCCTTGGCACTCCGCACACTTATAGTTACGATTGTGTATTGTTAAATTTTCTAATTCCAATTATTTTTAAAAACTTTTAATGAAATTTAAAATTTTTTATTTCATATATATGCAAGGTTGCTGCATCGTTAGCCACTGTTAAAGCCAATATAATACAAGCTGTTTACAATCAAGGAAAAAGAAATGAGCAAACACCAGAATTTATTGTTATGTGGCTTATGAAGGCTAGCAATAAATATATAACCTGACATATAGTTTTAGCTTAAGTTACAAACTGCTAGTAACGAAAGTATTATAAATTGGGTAAAATCCAGTGATTTATGTAAAGAACTTGATTAAAAACTGACATTTTCAGACAGGCATAAATTATAGAGAAAAAAATTAGAAAAAAAAAATAAAAGAAATATTTGATGTTTGATAGTAAATCCTTCAAAATTTTTAAATCGAATTGTTAATTGAGAATAGAGCAAAAAAAAAAAATATTAAACATTCATGAACGAAAATATATTAAATATATATTTTCTTATGTTTAAAGTAAAACAAAATAATAAATAAAAATTAAATTTCCTCATAAATTCAAAAATATAACAAAAAACTTACAAATTCCCCAAATGCTTTTAATTTTCTTTCAATCGCAAGTGGAGTATCATTGTTCCAAATGACTTTACATTTTTCAGGTTTGATTTTTGGTGCTATAATAAATATCTTAATTTAAGACATTTTGATAACATAAATAAACAAATGAGATAGCAAAATGTGAGTGTTTTTTGCCACACTTTAATGTTCAACATAAAAATTTGATTACTTAGTTCTCATGAGGCAGAATCACAAATACTACTATTTTAAAAACATTAATCATTTTTACAGATATGTGTCAATTCTGTTAACATTATTCTTCAACTTAAATGTAGAAAATATAAATGAATATTATGATTCCTTTTTATATAGTTGCAGTAATACACTTTTTTCTTTCATTGTCTTGACAACTTGGGAGGAAAAAGCCGAATTGTTAATAATCCTGGGTTTAGGGAAATATGAAGAAAAAAATCATACTAAAACAGTTTCCTTGAGAGAGAAAAAAAGAATAAAATTTAAGCGATTCAAAATAATCCTTTGGGAACTTCGAAAAATATTCCATTACAGAAAGAAAAATTTCAAAATAAAAGTAAAGCAATTTCCTGAAAATAAACTTGCAAGCTTAGTCGTGACAGTGTTGGATCTAGATTTTTATTTCATTTTTTAAACCTATTTAAAAAGAATATTGGAATAAAACATTTAAAACTAGAATGATATTTTTTTTTATAATTGACAAAATTATCAGTAGAAATTAAAAAGATAAAAAATGCAATAAATGTTAGTAACAATATAAAAAAGTAAAAATATTTATTAAATCAAACAATGTAGAAATAAAAATATGGTTTTTAAAATTATTTAACTTTTTGATTGTAACTAGTACAAAAGGCATACCAGAATAACACGTTAGTTTGCAATAAAAAAAAAGATTAATATAAATATTAAAGCATGACAATTTAAAAATAAATGCAAGTAAAGTAATGTAAATAAATAAGAGTGCGAAACTTTACAATGGAAAGATGCAATCTTTAACGAAATACATGTGACTTTTCAATTTACTTAATAAGGATATTTGAATTTAGTAAATGTTATTTTAAGATAGCAACATTTTTTATTAGCACAAAAGGATAAAATAATAGAAAAGAAATATGGTACTCCAACTGAGTGACAGAATCATTGAGGCACTGTCGCAGAACGTTACAGATTTCCAGCAAAAAGATTTTTATTTAGGATCTAAAAAATCTTGATTTTCTTTTCGGCAGAATTTTTCAAAAGATGTTGCTTATCTTTTTTCTCCTCAGAATTATATTCTAAAGATACCTTTCTCTCGTATTGGAAGTGGATGCTTGAGATTTTTCTATCAATATTCCATTTAATAAAATAAAGTCATTAATGACTAGTTTGCTTCAGCTAGAATTTCAAATTAATAAAAAAAAATCCTAAATCATGGAAGTTTAAATAAAATATACTTTGCTCCAGAAATAATATTTTTTCTTTTATTTTTTCAAAGAACACCATATTTTAATAAAATATGACTGTAAGTGGGAATTTTAATATTAATTCAAATTTGTAGCAAAGGAATTAAACAATCATTGTGGTACATAAGTCAATTTTTGTAAATTTGGTGGAAATGAAATCGATTTAATATTTTAATATGATATTGCACACACGAAAATTTTAAATCAATCAATTGAGTCTTCCACTCACAAATTACGTCATCGTAAATTTATGTAGTGTTTTCATTATTTTTCGGCAATTATTGCTACAGGTTTTCACTTTTTTTTTGTTGTTTTTTTTAAAAAAATTCTGCCCGTGTCTTTCATTGCTCAGATATTACTATTAATATTATCAAGATTTTTTTAAAAAAAATACGAATATTATTATATCACAGGAAGTTTGATCGCATATTCAAGAACTGAATCTCAAAACGAAACCAGCATTTTTATAACGTCTTTTCAGATTAAAGTACAGTCAGATTAGCGTGATTGCGGCATCGATCTGTTTTTAAATACTTACTGTCAAGGTTTTAACGATTTTTAATAATTTTTGTTTAGTGTATTCTTGATTCATAAAATTCGAAAAAAAGTAATAATTAGTGCTTTTTTTGCCTACAAAATGACAGAATATCGCTCATAATACTAGAAAAAAAAAGTATTTCATTTACAATTAATGAAAAACATAAACACTTTTATCCTATACGAGTAAGTCTTATAACATAACGTTTCTGTTACTTTAAATTAGTAATTATAATTAAAAGTATCTTGCAGAAAGATATTAAGTCTTAGGGAAGTTAGCACATAAATTCCGAAAAAATTCGGCCAGAGGTCTCTTCTACATATTTAGTTGAAGCAGTAAAACTTCAAAATAAAAATAATTAATATTGTTATTTTTAATGATTGTTCTAATAAACTAAACAACTAAATTAAAAAACTAAGAGTGGTTTAATTTATTTTATGTAAAATTTTTAATTACATTAAAAATTTGTACAAAAATTTCCCAGGTGTAAGGTATTTTTCTATAAACATGCTCTTTCGATAACAGTTTTATTTAATTATAGAAATTCTTCCCATAGAAGAGAGCAACCAGATTATACATTAAACCAAGTACAGCATCAATATTTAATTGTGTCTATATTTTATCTATTTTCCAGTTTGTATGTATAAACTTATAAAAAAATTCTTATGTAAGAGTATTTTACAGCTAAGTAACAAAAAAAAAAATCGATTCAATGGAAGAAACCAACTACCAAGTTCTAAAATTAGCATATGCTCCAAGTTAATAGAAACTTTAAAATGTAACACACAAAATAAAGAATATTATGAATTTAATGTATATCAGTATTTAGAATGAAAAGAAATAAATTTTAACTAAGCATATAAACTATAAAGATGTTAGATGTTTTATCACAGATTTTAAATTGAAAATTTTTTTTTTTTTGAATTTAAAACTTGCTATAGCATTAATTTTAAGGACAAATTTAATATAAATGCATTTTGATCATATTATAAAAAAAAAAAAATTATAAATATGAGCTTTTTGAGCATTGTTTCAAAAAAAAAAGAGTAATATTTCAAAGATGTCATTCCATACTTATAAGGTCTAATTTTGTCAAATTCTTTCACTAAAAGGTCCCCAATCTTGTTATAAAATTTGTGAATTTGATAACTTCATTATTAGGTTAGGATAACTTGGAAAAAAAAGCATCTTTCAATTTATAAGTCAGACATAGCCAGGCTGGAAAATATATTCCAAAAGAAAGTAGATTTTAAATAAATACAATTATGTTATATTTTGAATATCCATATATAGTTCATTAGGTTAAAATGTAATAGCAAACATTTTAACCAAAATGGAAAATGTAGTATGAAAGAAAGAGTGGATTATAAGAAAGTGATTAAAGCTACATTGTTTACATTTTTGATTATTTTTAATTAAGATATTACACTTTAAAAAGCAAACATGATAAGTTTATTTATTAAAACAAATTTACAATCAACAGAAAATAAAACATTTGTATTTCTGATCATCAACTCGATACAGAATTAATATAAATTATTTTAAGTATCTGCAGAAAAAAATATTTAGAATCTTATTAATTACTCAACTGAATTAAAAGAAAATGATTTAGGAATAGTAAATAAAATAACACAAACCATAAATGACACCACTAATTGGCTGCGAATAGCTTGACTTAATGTAGTGTGGCAGGTCTTGCAGGGTTTGTATAATCTGAAATATCAAACTTATTTAGAAAAAGTTCAGAAAATGGCGAAATGAGTGTATAATGACACAATCATTTCATTATCTGTTTCACACAGACTTCATATGAAATTTCTGAAATAAAAAGTTTTGAGATTCTCAATTTTTATGAATTATATTTTTCTAAATTGCCACTCTGTCATTGCTTCTAAGTGAAGAAACATAAATTCAAGAAATTTATTTAAGAGTAAAAATTACTTTAAACTTAATAACATTACTTAAAAATTAATAACATAGTGTAGTTAAGTTATTAATTAAATCAATGGCTGCATAACATAGTTAATGCTACTATTAATTTTAAACATATATAAATAACATAAAATTGCAATATATTATATCGTATTAATATTGATATAAGCTTTACCACTTAATCTACTTTATTGACAGAAGCCACAGGAAAGAGTAAGTCACATGATATAGCCTGATCCTGCAACAGTTCACCTGTATTTTAAGTTTTCTTTTTTTATTCTTACATATTCTCCCTTGTTGCCCACATTATTTGGATTATATAATTTTAATTTGATTCTAATTAAAATTCAGGTTGAGGTATTTTTCAGGATCAAGGGGTCTATAGATATTTTTATAGTAATATAAGGATAAACATGAAGCAACAATTGATGTTATTTATCACTATCTCTTAAATAAATATATTTCTTTTAAAATAAAATTGTTCATTTCTTAAATCTTTAAATTTTTTAATAAAAGAATTTTTACTGTCTCACTTATTGTTCACTATCGCGATTGTAATCATTCTGAAAAAAAGAATCCCAATAAAAGATAAATTATTTGAATGATTTAATTCTGTTTTATTGGTTTTTATACCACTCGCAGAGATATTATTTTTTTTAAATCAAAATTTGGGTGGGGATTCATTACATTCACTGCTAGCCAAATGCAGTTGGTTATGCTATATCTATCATTACAAGTTTCTGGGAATATACCTAGAGGACAGCACAATATCAAGAAACGTCTCATAGTCTACAAGGAAATTGTGGAACATCTTATTGTCTACAAGCCATTTTAAAAAAAGGGCTTTTGATTATATTGTCCTAAGTCTTTCATATGTGAAAAGAATAACTTATTTTATTAGCAAATTAGATTTTTTTATTTTTATAGAAATAAAAGTAAGGCAGCAAGCAACATAAATGGAATAAAAGTCAAGAGAGTTTTCTTCATTAATAGTTATAGTAAATACGAGATATAAGAAAAACATGTCCCTTTATAATTACAAAACAAAGCGCATTAAAAAACTTCATTACATTTCAATAAGCTTATAAACATAATGAATGAATAACTTACCATATCAGCAGCTATTTTACTCAGTTTTTCAGTCAACATTTTAGAGGTAAAATCATCAGGTATTCTAAATGTTTCTTGAAGCAGAATTTTACCAACATCAAACCTAAATTAAAGTATTAAATAAAAGTATTAAATTAAAGGTACATTAATAAAAAAAGTAATTTAGGTACTTAATAAAGTTTTCAAAATCCAACACAAGCTTGGCTCTTTCTTACATTGCCTTTCAATACTGGGAATATCAAGTAGTTTTGTATTTTGGAAAGTACATCAAAAATTAATATAGTTTTATTTTTAATTAAAAATTAATGTAATTTAAGGGCAAATACAGATTGATTTATTTAAAGTTTATCAGTATCTTTACAGATTAATAAATCAAATGATATCAACATTTAATAAATCAAAACCTTAGAATAATGCAAATTTTTTTTTTTTTTTTTTTTTTTAAGAATGTTCTGGTTTATAACATATAATAGATACAGAATAAATTTGTTGGTATTGAAAAAGATTTTTTATGTAATGAAAGCATTATGAAAACAAATAATTATGCAAGCAGATTTGACAAGTAAAGAAAAGTTGTAAAATGTTTAAAAAAAAGGCAGCAAAANAATAATTTATTATGCATTAATAAATCAAATCATATCAGTATTTAATAAATAAAAACCTTAGAAAAATGCAAATTTTTTTTTTTTACCATTTTACAACTCTAGACACTGGAATTTTTATAATTTTATTTAATAAACAATACCTTCACACACACACACACAAAATCAATAGGCTAATTATAAATTATTTTTAAGATATTTAATATTTTTAACAAGATTCATATAAATTTTGTTTTTCAAATTTTGTTCATCTTTGTTGTTTTTTTCAAGCTTAAAATTTCATTTTTTATGGAGTATTTTTTACAATTCTGTAATTTTACATTAAAAATATGATCCAGATAAAATTACTTACAAAAATTGGCATTGAGACAAAAATCCTAAATTAATCCTCGCACTCACAATGCAACAAGTTTATTAATCTCATATTTCCAAATATATTTTAAGTCTTAACTTTTCACAATTCAAATATAGTTATTAATATTTTGGTAAAGCCATTAAACAAATATTTGCATGCAAATTTTCTTTTATTTAGAAAAAATCACAATCTTATCATCATCGTTTTCAAAATGTTCTTAAATTATGACTAATGGACAAAACATAATAAAGAAACAAGACATAAATTTAAGAACTTAATTGAAGCATTAATTTAAATTAAGCTTTTACCAACAGAAATAAAAACTATCAGCCAAATATCTCAACTAAGAAATGTAAAATGGTAAAATCATACTTATTGGGGGACACTTGAGTAATAGTAACTCCAGTTTCAGCATCCCCATTTAGAATTGTATGAAAAATGGGTGCAGCTCCTCGCCAGCGGGGAAGCAAACTTGGATGAGCATTGATGATTCCACTGAAACAAAAATATTAAAAAAACTTCACATAACATTCCGATTAAGATCAAACCAATGTAGTTTAAGACAAGAAATCACTTATGATTTGAAATTCCAACAAAATCTTATTGGTTTAACAATTTATAGCAGTGATGATATTCTAACTTAACATTGTGGTGTAATCAACATACTAGGTTCAAGTAGCAAAGTTTCAGTGCACCTGGCAAACCTGCAGACTTCTATACCAGGCCTGAAGTATGACGAACTAAACTGAATTTATGAACTGTATATATACCATTGCAAATTTTTGTTCTGTCTCTTTTGTGTTGTCCTTCGCACTTTTTCTTAGGTTTGACCTTTTTGATGCTGTATGATTATAATCCCGGATGCTTATGATTTTATTTTTAAAATTTTATTAAAGTTTAGTTTAAATAAGGCACTTCTCCTTTTTTATCCTTGACGAGATTGATCTACTTAAAAATGCTGGAAAAATATACACAACCTACCTCAGCAAAGATAAGGGGTTATTTTTTCTCCATCCTCAAATGATAGCATTTCGGTGGTGGCTCAGGGGATAGAGTGTTTGCTCTCCATTGAGGTCAACCGGGTTCGAATCCCAGCGATGGCTGGTCAATACGAATTCCATTGCTTGCATTGACCACAATGGTGATGTATAATATTCTAAGTTGTAGACAGATCCTAGGTTACAGTCCTTTTGCCGGCAGGCTAACCGTGTGAGGTTCCCATGGTTTTCTTCTCCATGTAAATAAAATATGGGTTAATTCCACCTAAAAGTCTTCCACGAAGGTAAATTTCTCCCAATACTTGATCGAAGAGTTCCTTGTCTTCTTGATAGGGTTCAAAATTACAAGGCTATAGAGTTGAACATTAGTTGTCGTAAACCCAGAGATACCTTGCTCCGTACAGCAAATATATTTTTTAAAGTGGTGGTTTATCAATTGTGATTCTGGTTTAACAAATTCAATTTAGTAGATTTTTATCCACCACTATTTTTAAATAATCATAGGCTTATATAATTCACCACTTTATAGTATTTATGTCATGTTATACCTTTTAAAAAGCAAGCAAAGATAGTCAAATATTTGAAAAATTAACTTAGTAGTAATTTACTGTTTTTTTAAAATTATTTTAGCGTGTCCGGAGCAATTGGTATCTCAGTAAACCTGAGATTGCATCGGCTGTTTAACAACGGTTATTAAAAAAATTAAAAGAAACACACACAAGGAGAGTGCTCGCCTCCAAATGATGTGATTTGGCTCATGCTAACCATAATGCTGATCTAAAATATCTTCTGAGGTAGATTATAGGTTAGAATCACTTTACTAACAGTAAAAGGTTTCTCTGGGTTTCTTATCCATATAATTCAAATGCATGTTAGTTTCATCAAAAAGTACCCTACACTTGATCTAGTAGTTTTTTAGGTTGGGTTTAAATTTACAAGGCCACAAAGTTGAAGATTGACATTTGTAAACACAAAAAAAGGGGCCGGCTGTGCAATACCAGTTACAAATTAAAACAACACACATGAACACTATTCATCATCATAAAAAACTTACTTACTATTCACAAGCAAGAATACTTTCTGTGGGAATTAAATGACCAAAAGAAACAACGATTCCAACATCATAAGTTCCTGGTGTAAGTGAATATGGCCATGTATAGAGTGGAAGATTGTGTAATGAAGCATATCTTCTAACTGGACAATCTGACTTAAAATAAATGTAACATAACTTGTATAAGAATAAAAAAGAAAACTTGCTAAAACTACAATAATAATATATTTATAGACAAGACAAGATCAGGTGGCTAAATTTATTTTAGTTTTTCCAGAAATAAATTCAAAAACTTTATTATGTAAGCAAAAAAATAAACAATGTTATCGTACAAGTCTTGACAAAAAATATATAAGTAATTATGGTTACGTATCTGATTTACTTAATTATTTTGCATATACCAGCCAAATAATCTGATAAGCTATATTAATAGTAATACATAATGTTAAATAAATAATTCCAAGAAACTGAAGCGGCAATACAATTTAAGTTGCAAAAAATACTTATATTAAGAGAGTAAAAGAAACTATTTTTACACTTTTTTTTAAAATTTATTTTTTATTTTTTAACAGAAGTTGCGAACAACTGTTTGCATAATTGTGAATAAATTAATAATTGATATTGAATAATGAATTTCTAACAATTCTAAAATAAAAACAAAGCAAAAAACACTTATAATATTCTAAGATTAAAACAAACCATTTTCATGTTGTTGTTTTTTTTAACCTTAACCTTCCGTTAGTCGCGCACTTGTTTCCGACATGGTTAATCGCGTTGCACCTATGAGGTGTTTCTGATTTTTTGAAAGCCAAATGAAATTTAGTCTAGTTTAAATAGTTAATTGTTACCAATTTAAGACTCTTTAGAGAGATAAATATCAAAAAACTTATTTAGCGAAGTACCGAAGATAAATTTTTCTTGCTCCCGCGTCGGATCTCTTCCTCCATCACAAGATGTTCAACCAATTGACGCAAGAAGGTTGTGCTGTTTTTTACTCCGTAACCATTTTCTGTGAATGTAACTTGACCATTTATACCTGCTACGTTGAGAAGGACAGAAAATGAGATAAAATATATATATTTAATTCCTAAAAATATTATATCCATAATACTTGCATCAATGATCGCTCTGCACCAGAGGAGTGATTTGAGCGGTTCCAACTCTCCATCGACATGTTCTAAGGTCGGTTTTACACGGACATTTGAGTAATCCAAAGTTAGGAACATAACATTAGGCTCGACCCCCGGAAAAATCTATTGACGGCAAAGGAGGTGGAAGTGCAGTAGGGATGCACCTGTGAAGTGCGCGCGACTAACGGAAGGTTAAACAACTTTTTTGCAGAATTATAAATAAATTGATAAATGATATTACTATGATGCTTGATTTTGATTAATTTTAAAATAAAATTTAAGAATCCTTAATCGGAAATTATTCAGTATTGATTCTTTGTTCAAAAAAAAAAATTACATTTATCACATAATCATATTGCACAATATTTAACATAAAATCGCTTGTTAAAAAGAAAGAGGAAAAAAACCTCCTTTAATTTCTCCATTCATTAAAATAGTAAAATGCAATATTTCAAGTCACTGTTATGCTGAAATATGCATAACATATTATCTTATTTAATATTTTTTTTAGTGAAAGAAATCATTAATATAATTGGTAATCTCTTAATACCACAACCTTGAATTGAGTAGAGACAAAAATTTATTTTTAGAAATTCCTTCTATACCAATGTAACAATATTACACAATATTTAACAATATTACACAATATTTAACAATATTGCACAATATTTAACAATATTGCACAATATTTAACAATATTGCACAATATTTAACACAATTTATTACACAACATTTAACATAAAATCGTTTGTTAAAAAGAGAGAGGGAAAAAAACTTCCTTTAATTTCTCCATTCATTAAAATAGTAAAATGCAATATTTCAAGTCACTGTTATGCTGAAATATGCGTAACATATTATCTTATTTAATATTTTTCTTATTGAAAGAAATCATTAATATAAATCGTAATCTCTTAATACCACAACCTTAGATTGAGTACAGACAAAAATTTATTTTTAGAAATTCCTTCTACATCTGCCTAACTCATCAGCATGGAATTCAAAAACCATTACATGATTGCTAATATATTGAATTCATCAAAATTTGTTATTATTTCTCTTCTTTTCAGCCAACACATCTGAATGCATAAGGCTAAAAAAAGAGAGCCTTGGCAATAGATTAAATCAGTTGATAGCCAAGACATGGATTCCTTAACTTTCCTTGGCGAAAACTATGCTAACGTATACATGACACTCACACTTTCGATTTCTAGGTGGACGGAGATGTTCTATAGAGCTTAGATATGCAGCTACACCCTCCAGGCTTGTTTCAAAATTTTTATATATTTCATATTCATATGTACATAAAAATGAAGATTTCTCCTTAGAGTTTACCAAACAGTTTTCAAAAATAAAATATTATTTTGTGTTTGTCGTTGAAGTTCATTTACGTTGCACTAGAGCTGCACAATGGGCTATTGGCGACGGTCTGGGAAACATCCCTGAGGATGATCCGAAGACATGCCATCCCAAGAGATTACTTTCTCAATTTAGACATAGATTTGAAGGGGAAGAGAATTTTCCGCAGATCCCTGTACCAATGGTATTGCTCAGTGACCGACCACAGGACTTTCAATTCCACAGATTTTATGAGCACATATATCGCATGTACTCGGTGGATCTTAGTGGAGTCAAGGATTGAAAACCGACTGCTCCGGACCAGAGTACGATTCTCTACCTTCTTGGTTACCACGGCCCTTATGGGTAAAAAAGACAGGTGATTCCAAAAATCTAATTCTTGGAATAAAGTAGGGATATTTGAAAGTGGCATACATTAACTTCTTCAATGGAAACTTTACATCTTCAAGACTTTCCCCATGAATTATTTTATATTTTCAACAAAGTTCCACGACAATCATATTCTGGCAAAATAAACTTATGATTAACTAGAGTTTATATTTATGTAGAAAAATGAAAGCAAAATTTGTCTATACCTGAACATAAATCGTAACATAAGGTTGATAAATTTGTCACTATATTAAAAAAAATTCCATTTTTTATCTTCGATTTACAGATGTTTATATCTTTACATATTCATGTAGAAATGGATTTTAAAATTTGCATATTAGATATGGAAATAACTTATAAGTCAATATAAAAGCTTGAAGCAGCTGCTATAATTTTTTTTACTTCAGAATTTTTAGATAATGTTATTGTTTGAATTATAACTCGAACAAGTTGGTTAGCATTCTCTAGAATTTATAGCCTTTCACAATTACATATTATATAACATTTTTAATTATGCATAATTAAAATAGTATCTACTAAATATACAATAAAAACAATATACTATCAAATTGACAATTTAAAAATCTTACCTTTACACAAACTACGTGAAGATCTTTAACTATTCTGAGAGGAGTTGGGGACAACCTAAAATATTCGAACAGTATGACATTTTTATGACTGATTTCACACTAAATAAGTGACAATTAAAAAATCTCATTCACAAAGTGTTATGAAAACAGGAAATATGAAAAATAAACAGTCATTAGACTAAAATCTATAGAAACATTAATTAACCAAAAATTATATAATATGTAAAAGAAAAAAAAATGACTATGTTTGTCTTTAGAAATGTTAAGAAATTTATAGTACAGTATGAACTTGAAAATTCAGAAGCCTCTAAAAACAGGACTCATTACGAGGAAAAAAAATTTTCAAAATTGATTTTTAAACAATGCATAACTTCTGCCCCCTCCGAAATATTATTACCTACCATTTTTGACACATTCGATTCACGACGATTCTAAAGGTGGAAAATCCTGAAAATTTTAAAGTGGAAAACAATGAAAATTTTAAGTGAAAAAATTCGATATGTATATATTAATATATGATGATATGTAACAGTTTTGAAATTGCGCAGATTGCAAAAATGAGGAGATTGTATTGGTGGTGGGTAATTGAAGTTGTGATTATGATTTTTGCTTGTACAGATAAGAGAAGTGTACAGATGCAATGAATGTTTTATTGGTGTTTGTTTTTCTATGCAAAATTTTCTGCGGAAATTTAATAATTAAATTTGGCTTTCAGGATTGATTTTTATCTGACGCTACTTTTTCTTGCAAACATTTTTTATGAATGCTTGTTTAGCGTCGTTGTATAATATTTAGGGTAGATCTCGGTATTGTGACCTGCGGCAGAATAATCGCCAAGTCTGGGAAACTTCCGGTCAGCAACCTGAGAGAGATTTGAAGCAAAATTCCCAGAAAGGGACCAATTCAAAAGGTATAAAACGTAGCCACCCCTGGGCAAACATCCATATGTTTTTATTTTATTTTTCTATTCCAAGTTTAAAATCTATTTAGCACCTTGGCGACTGCAGTTGGGGCGACAGATCACAATACGGAAATATCCCTAATAGTTTTGTGTCAATATTAATACTGCGTTAAATTCTTTTAGTTTTGCAGTTTTTGTGCCACTGTACATTTGCCCAGTATATCCTAGATTGATGTTTTTTTTAAAAGTAAGTGCTATGGCCCAATATGTATTTTCCATTTTCAGTTTACGATCTTCTATGGTTTCTTGCTAGAATCATAAAAACGTCATTTCGACGTTAACAAAAATTTGTGGCCATCAAATAAGTATCAACGCGCCATGTCAGCACTAGTGACATTTTTTAAAATCATGCAACGTATATTAGGATTTTACCCAAACCAATATAATTTATGTTAAGAATAACTCAATGAAATGCATTACCTATTATTATTTAGAGCTTTCAGTGTAACTTCTGAGAGTTCGTCAGTTCCATAAAATACTACTTTCCATTGCTTAACAATTTTATTATTTAATGGCTTTGACAGAGACTGAGAAAACAGTCTTATTAGTTTAGATTTCACATAAGGACTTAGAGTAATAAGTCTGTTTAATTGCTTAAGAATCATTTTAAGTATAAATTTAAATAGAAAAACAGACAATTGGAAAGATTATTTTGAACTGAATGCTTGCATCATTTTAATACTTTCTTTTAAAATTTTAAGCGAGTTATTTAAACGAGCTTCCTGTAACCATACTGAACATTATTTAAACCTCGACGACTTACTCGTTGTTCAGCATATTTATTTACATTTCTATGAATTTTAAACAAACACTTCTGGCTGTTTATTTCTGTTCAGCTCAAGGTACTGAATGGAAATGCTTTTTAATTTCGGTGGCCGAGACAATCGTTGAAAATGGCTCCAAGTCAACTCTCGAATACGCCATCTGGGGAAAAGACCGGTTCCATGTCCTGACCCTACTCCCTCTCTTTTCCTCCTTTTCTCAGTTATACAGGAATGTACTACGACATTATCCCCTTTCTTAATATTTTTCGTAGTTAAATGTCAAATGTATTTTTTTAACTTTCCACAACACTTTTTTTTAGAACTACGTTAAATCTAGTTTTCTGTTCCATATAGCCTCGTAGTTAATATGTTTTTAATCCATTTGTAAACCAAGACCGATACTAATGTACTTAATTCCTCTATGACTCTCCACACGCTAAGGTAAGAGCAAGTGAAGTTTTTCCATAGTTCTGTTCTACACCACCTGTAGCCCATTTTGAATCCCAATATCTTTCTTCCATTCTTTGCTTATATATTTCGTTGGGTTGCAATACTTTTGAATAAGAGATTTTTAAAAAATTTTAAAAATAACTTTTATTTGGTTTTGAATGAAAAAGTAGGGAATAAAATATTGTGTGTAACTTATAAGAAATTTTTACAAAACATTTAAATTTAAACTTTACATAAAATGAATATATTATTTACTCAATTAAAAATTTATTTAAGTTAATTTTTTAGAATTTCAAAATGTATTTACGAAAAACAAGTTATTCCTTAAAAATAATTTCGTGAAGCTAAAAATATGCAAAAATGATATTAATCATAAAAGTATGCATACAAAAAAAAATTATAATTTATTTTAAGATTCTGACTGAAAGAGAAAAAAGAAGTCCCTGAGCAAAGAAGAAATCGGGAGCCATCATCGATTTTGTTAATGCATTCAGCGTCAATTTCTCTTCTAATAATTAATTTTCCGGTTCTCTTAAAATGAAAATTCTCTCCTTTTGTTCCAATTGTTATCTTAAATATGCTAAATAATTTGTGCTGACGATGTTTTAAATTAGAAATTTTACTACATTAAATTAAGGAAAGCCTCAAGCACAAAAATATACTTCCTCTGAATAAACATTTTTAGTGTTAACGAATTTGGATTTTTAATCCTTAAAACATCACAATATACTACTATCACAATGTTGAAGTGATCGTTACGTCGAAAACATTGTTCCAATTGTTTAGTCAAAGTTCCAATCCTTTGAGTTTCATTTTCCCTTTTTTTCTTCTTTCATTTTTCGGTGTATCTGGAACTGTTTAGGTGGATAAAAAATTCCACAAATTGTAAAACCCTTTCTCCAAAAATTTCATGCAAAAAATATACTATTATAGATAAGTCATTATTATTTTTTATTTAATTTGTGATGGGAGTACTGTAGAGTGTAAAAAATTTTATGTCATTTTAGATGATGCAATTTCAAGTAACAAAATTTGAACAAAAGCGTCTGAACTGTTAGTGAGGACAGAAATTTCAAAGATATCGGATTTTGGAAATATCGTATTATTAACGAGTCTTATAACTGTGTGCACAATTTTTTTCTTCTTCAACTACAAAGTAATCAACATATTACTTTCAAACCATTAAAATTGGAACTTAATGAAATTCCAATTACTAAAATCAAAGTTGTGTATGGAGTTTCGCTTTGCTTTCATTTTACAAACATAACAATTATGCGAAATGTATAATATCAAGAGCTTTAATTCACAGGAAGTAATGCCTGTAAAATTGTTTATTATAGATATGTTATTAAATTAAAAACTTAAGTCAGTTTATTCTCTAGTTTTTATTTATTAATTTTAAGTGAATGAGCGGCAAAGAATATTTTTGCTTGGGCTTGGAAAGTAGCTCATATAAACTATGAGCGCTTTTTTTCCACTTCAAATAATAGTTTCATAGTTTGAAAAATGACAAATTTTGGATTCTCCAAAGATTATTTGTACACTTTATTAGTTTTTCAGTATAACTCTGCAACTGCTTGTGCACACTTAATTATTATAAAACTTGTTTACGAGAAAATTGATGTTACGCGCATAAAAAAATTATAAACGTTAATTATTTCTCTAATTTAAATGGGAAAACTATAAAACAGATATATTTAATAATAACAATATTATAATACAATTAATTTTAAGACATTAAATCGGGCAATCGCGACTTTGCATTGGCTCCTCGCTCCCCCCCCCCCCCAGTCAATAAAAAAAGTTGGCATGCAACTACTTGAAACAGTTAAACCTCGTAACCATAGTAAACCCCACTACTTCAGACGATTGGCTCACTACTTCAGATGACATAATTCCTTTTGAAGTTTGTAGCATTTAAGGAATTTGTTTATAAATAAAGAAAAATAAAAGTCAGTAAGTTCCTAATAGGTCATGTTAAATATATTTACCACCAAAAAAATGGCATTTTTATAAACTAAATGAGTTGTTTTTTTTAAATATCAATTACTGTTCTCAAAACAATTTCAATTCCAGAAATACTTTTATTTACCTTTACTGGAAATAAAGGGCCCATTAAAGGGTTAACTCAAAATCCTGAGAGAGAATAGCTCTTTTAACCGGATAAGAAGGCGGTACACTTTGTCAGTAACATGCAGAGGTGAAAGAGGTAACGGCTCCATGCATAAAAAAAGCGGGCACCAATCATTTGAGATCTGAGGACAATAAAACTTAAATCTAACTTATTTTTATCAGGAAATTTAATTCTTTAACAGATAAATATTTATCTTAAGCAGACTATTTTATTTAGAATAAACTATAATTTTCAAACAAATTTATTAATTTTTTGTTTTAAATTCTTAAAATTTAAATATATTTTCTTAAATTTTAAGGAAGACTTAAGAATACTTTGTAGGAAATGCTAATTTTTTTACTATGGTAGAATTCGACCCCTAGGCACATTATAAACAACACTTTTTGTGAGTATATATTCGAAGAGTTAAAATCTGGCATATGGCACTGCCTCCTTTAATTGAAAGCTTCGACACTGCTTCTTAAAAACAGTCCTATCAGACCAAACATGCAAGTAGACCTGATTCGATCCTCTACGACCCTAAGAACCACCCAGTACAAGTGATTTACATACTCTCACAATCTATGGAATCGAAAGTGTTGTGGTTGGTCACTGAGCAGTACCTTGGGTACAGGGATCTGGAGAAAAAATTTTCCTTCCCCTTTAGATCTTTGTCTAAATTGAGGAAGTCGCCTCACGGATTGTCATGGCATGTTATTATTTCCCAGACTGTTGAATATAATCCAATGTGCAGCTCTAGTGCGACGTAAATAAATACCCATCTTCCTATACTAGAAAAGGAAGCACTCTTTATTTGATTAAAATGATGCCCTGACGTTGTATGTGACAGTTTATTTGATTACTGATATTTGTTTAAACAAAAATTTAGATGGCAGCTACAAGCCTGACTGTTTGGAAAACGGTGACTATGCTCTTTATCAGCACAACGGCGGGGTGTACTTCTGCGTTGACAAAAAAGGCAAATTGATAACTTTGCCCTCAGGTAGAAAATCATATTACAAGAGGGATTAGAACATTGGATCACTAGAACAATGTTTGAAAGTTAAGTTGTCAAAGTCTTTATGAATAAAATGATTCATTTATTCTATTTTTCATCTTTAAATTTAACTATTTATATACATTAATAGCATTGCATTTACGCAATTTATTTGCTAAAAATTTGTTGTAATATATAAAGAGAAAATATAAACTATGTAGCGGTTCAAGGAGTTGGTTGGTTTTTGTGGGCAACCATAGATAGCAAAAAGTCAACCAAATCAAATCAAACAGTATCCAAATTCAAACAATAATATATTCACGTGCTAGTCGTCGGGTTACCGAAGCGGGAGTGTCATCCTCTCTGCAGAGGATCAAAATTGCGATGGCATGCCTTCCGGATCATCCCCAGAGATGTTTCCCAGACCGTCACCAATAGCCGATTGTGCAGCTCTAGTGCAACGTAAATGAAGTACTACAACAAACAATAATATGTAGAACACTTTAAAATACAGTCATTGCTTTTTCATTCTTAAAACTTAATTACGAGGGTTATTTTTTTTCAAGGTCCGATTGGTCGCTAAAGGAAAACTTCGGGTAAAATCTGCTAGGGTTGTGCACAGACGTCTTGCGCTGTGTTTTCAGCTGGCCATGGTAAAGCATGGGTTAACGGTTGTCATTTTTGAGCACGCACGGAGCACATAAACATGCTTCGAAAAATAGAGTCCCCCGCCAAATGTGAATTGCGTTCCGTCATTCGATTTCTGCATGCTGAAGGAAGTAATGCAGCTGAAATTCATAGACGAGTGAGTAAAGCGTACGGAGAAGCTTTCATGAGTGATAGCAACGCGTGGAAATGGAGCAGGAACTTTGATGCTGGACGTACAGATGTTCGTGATGCAGGCGTCCAGGGAAGGAAGTCAGTGTCAAGCGATGATCTTGTTCAGCGCGTGGATCAGGCGATTCGCGGAAATCGCCGGTTCACAAATTCCAAGTTGAGTGAATTGATTCCGAAAATTTCACGGTCAGCACTGTATACCACTGTGAGTAAAAGACTCAAGTACCGCAAACTTTGCTTGAGATGGGTTCCCAAGATGCTGTCTGACCATCACAAAACTCAACGAATGGGCCCCGCATCAACCGTCCTTCAGCGATACCACGACGAAGATGAGCTTTTGGACAAAATTGCCCCGGGAAATTACGCTATGGGTCCATGGAAACTGAAGAAACGCTGACTGTCATGGGAAACTGAAGAAACGATGGCTAGGAGGACAAACTTTCGCCATAGACAACGAGCTGCAAACCTGCGTACAGAATTGACTGAAAACACAGGCGGCTGCATTCTATGATGAAGGTATTGGAAAATTGATACCGCACTACGACTAATGCATGAATCGGAACGGCGATTACGCTGAAAAATAGCTTAATGTTGTATCATATTGTTCCATATAAAATGTTCTTGATTCTGACTGTGATTTTCTCTTAGCGACCAATCGGACTTTAAAAAAATAATAGCCCTCATATTTACATACATTAATAGCTCTGCATTGACATAATTTATTTGCTAAAAGTTTGTTGTAATATATAAGGAGAGAATATAAACTACGTAACGGTTCATAAAGTTGGTTGCCTTTCGTAGGCAACCATAGATGGTAAAAAATACACCAAATCGCAACAAACAAGATCCAAATTCAAACAATAATATTCCGAACATCTTGCAATACAGCCAGATTTGCCAACTTACTAGGATTTGGTTATGTGATAAAATTCTTTTTGTGGTAGAAAGTTTCGTGTTTTACTAAATGTTTCTTTAAGAAAGTTCTTTCTTAGTTAATTTTCACACCATTACATGTGAATGATAAACATTGTTTTTAAATGTTGGCAAGATTAATCAAAATTTTGAAAGTTATGGTTTTTGACTGCCTACAATTCTAAAAAAATAATTATGCCACACGTTGGAAATCAGAAAAATTTGAATAAAATCATAATTTTTGTTTATTGATCATATTAGTTTAAAAGTCAAAGTTTCAAAAGAATAATTGAAGCAATAAAGAAAAAGAAAACAATGGAAACAAAAAATATGGCCACTAAAGCCGACGTCTTCAGGGGATACCAGCTCTTGAATCCATAAAACAAAACATTTTTTACTGAGAGAGCCTGATAAATGTCAAAATTTGCTCTCTTAGTACCCCGAAGGTTTTGCTAAAGTCCAGGAAAAAATACAAGAAATACATAAAATGAAATCAGAAAAGAAATTTCAAGCAAAATCTTGAGAATATAATATAAAAATGAAAATACAAAAACTCACAGTAAACTGGTCTAACAGCAATTTCATGAAACTATCTCAATGCAAAAGAAAAATTTGAAATAAAAGAAAACAGCACCCTCAATTAAAATGCGCAGTAGAAAGAAAAAAAGGATAGGAAAGGTAAAGATTGTGTAACAGATTAATATAATGCTTAACTGTGGTTGTTCAGTCAAGAGCTCTAAAAAGAAATAATAAATTAATATTCCTTAATCATTTTCCTGATCAAAAATTTAACATTACAATAATTACAAGAAAACTCATTATTTCTCAAACTTCACAAAAAATTATTCGCTGCCTCCTGAAAACATTCAACTTTATTGCAAATTTTTTTAATTCTAAACAATTGTGAAAAAACTAAAATTTTGAAAATTTTATTGCACAAATTAGTATTAAAGTTACAGAAAAAAAAACTTTAAATTTAAAAGTTTTTCGTTTATCAAAAACACCAATTTTAATTATTTTATCAACAATATCAATTTTAAAATCTAAATACACAACATTTATGCAATTCTCATAAGTTTTTTTCAAAACCAAATCTTTAGGATTAATACTAAAAATAAAATCATGATTATCACAATTAAATAAAATCGAATCATCAATATATCTACAAGCATTAAAATCATTAAACTCACGAAATTTAGCTTCAAAAAAATTTTAAAAAAATATTAGCAAAAGCACCAGGAAAAGAATTACCTTGTGGAATTTCAGTAATCTTACTATATATAAAATTCAATGATGGTGTCGCAGTTTTCCATTGTTGTCAGTGCATTTTTATTGGCCAGAAAATCACGTGGTGTGATCCAGTTTTTCCTCATTCGTCTCCTTATTGTTTTGCTTGTAGTCAGCATAAAATTAATAAAAGT